AGTCCTTTATTCTATTTGGTTTATGTCGAAAGTTTTTACCTTGGCTGTCTGGCGGTAGTCAGGGATGGACCCTGCAGGTTACTTCACAGGCACATCTGCAAGCAATCTTTCAGCTCAGCAGGGCCCAGACTTGGTTATAAGTGACAAAAGGTGGCTATAAAGGAAAAACAAGCATTTCTGTCACACAGAGTGAAAAAATATTTTGGATTTCACCTTGCAGAAAGAAGAGCAAGTACTTAGATGTGTACCATCGTTTTAGTCATCAAATGTAGAGAAATGCATAATGCTGTGGGTGTATATATGTAGTTTCATGTTGATGTTACTGTGGATTGGAAAGCTGCAGGGAAGTTAACACAGCAGTAGTAGTCACAGGGCAGAGCTATCAGTGTGAGCATTGTGAAGGTAAAGAACAATAACTTGCAGCAGTTCTGTATTCATCTATACACCAGCTGGTCTCATTTCTCAGGCGTAGGGTAACTGACTTCGTGTGTAGAGCAATGTAGGTGTGTGCCGGGGGCTTTAGCACAGCACCTCATGGCAGCATTAGTACCTTTTTTACCTTAAGTTGCACATTAACCGGATTTTTTTCTAGTGTACATTTTTTCTTTTGGACCATAATACACTACTACATTACAGCCTTGTAAGTAATTTAAAAAGAGACAAAAATATTTGAATAGGAATCATAAAATACGCTATCTTTTTCCAATCTGTTAAAATATAGAAGCATTCATTTATTCAGATGTATTTCTGTTCTGTGCTGTTCAGGCATACAAATTAAGCAACAGTTTGTCAAGTAAGTTAGCATGATGTTTCTGAATAGTAATTTTTAACTCTGATAAATGTACAGTCTTTCTTAAATGACCAGATAAACTGAGGAGCATTGACTTCTTGTGGATTCAAGACTGAGGGCGGCACAACCTGATGTGCCTGAATGCAGTTTGATTTAGCCTCTGGCAGTGGCTCTTTGTAGCTTGACTACTGCAAAAGTGATTTTTCAAAGGTTTGTAATGTGACCAGAGTTGAGCTTATTTTCACAGTTGGAATCCTGCTAAATGTCAGATCCTTACTTCAAAGCAAGGTACTGCTTGAACTCTTTGACAACATGGTCACCACTTCTCTTATTATGGATAAAGCAGTGTATTGTCTATCATGGTCTCTTCAGAAACAGGGGCATGTTTTGGCTGAAATCATTAAAGCAGAAATTTGGAGTAGAAAATTCAGTCTGTCTTTCAGAAATGAACACTTATATAAGCAACTGAAATCCTCTTAAAAGAATTGTTGGGCAACTTGCATTTTGAGGATGCTCCCACTCAATCTCCAAAGATGATTGCCCTTTTCAGAGTGAGAAAAAATAAAGACAACTTCAAGCATTAAGGAATAAAAATATTTTTGAGTTAATAGCTTGATGTCTGATGGTTGTAAGTTTATTTTAGAAAGCTGTTTTAATGTAACACCAGTGGGGAAGAAAAAGAGATGATCTGTCACTTTTTTTCAAAGTAACTTTTTATTCACCCAATTGTAGTCACTCATTGATTTTTCTGATGAAGCTTTAAAAATCATAATCATCTTTGCAGAAAGAAAACCTGTCTTACTCATGCTCAGTTGGGAATGTTCCTACTGAATTAACTAGCCCTCAAAACGGGAGTCAATGCCTTTGCCTAGGTTTTACAAGTTTTCCGTGCCATATATGTGGCATTTAGGGGAAACATTGGTTTGTTTTGTCAGGACTTCTAATGTATCTGATTTACTGAAAACAGGTCTCTGGTGTCTGCAGAGTGTTCTGTGGTGAGGTCCCCTGCTGCTAAAATACAAACTGGTTATGTGAGGTTTAAGTGACATGGGAAGCATCTCTAGTGTTGATGCAATCAGTGAATAACTATAGTATGGTACAACTACTGGTGCAGCTAGCTGAAAAGCTTTTTGTTAAATGAAATTTCTATGTACTTCTTTTTCAATAATCTCTAATGCTTTAATTTTTTAAAAGCATGGCTTTAGGAGTGGGAAGCATTATGTGTGATGCTCATGTAAATGTGAATTGTTCTTAAAAAAAATCCAAACAAAACCTTTTTTATAAAGCCTCTATAATAAATCCTTTCAAATTAGTGGTTTCTTTTAACCAAGTTCCAATTGCAATGCTGAGAATCTGAGTAGCTGTTCTGCACTGTTACATTTATATTAATTTCTATGCATGTCATGCTTTTTTTATTTAACAGTTTGAAAATTACTCCAGTGGTTGTCATAGCTTGATATCCACAGATGTCTTGGTATGGATCTGATCCTCAAATACAGAATTAAGGAAAAGGGTACACTTGATGTTTATGGTTGTCACTTCTCCCCACGCATGTGATGAGTTCTATCAAGTGTCTGTCTATGTAAAAAGTGGGCCGAACTCGGAAATTCTGAATACCACTTACATTTCCAGAATTTTCTCAGTCTTTCTGCTGCTTTCACTTCATATTCTGTAGATAAATAAATTATTATTGAGTACACATTCATAACCACTTAAATGCATTGCTTGTAAAGTTGTTTTTTCATGTATTTTTTGAGTTTAGAATAAAAACAAGTAGAATGACCTTGCATGGAATCAGGGTTACTGTTTTTCTGATTATAACTTCATTTTGCATACTGCAAAAATAATCCTATCAACAGCTTTTCTTCTTATTGGGACAGATGTGAATGACCTACCAGTCATTATTACCTCGGCTCTTTTCTGTAGGTAAAGCAACCTTCTTTGCTTTTCACCTCTTCAGCTTCTTTACATACTTTACAAAACATACAAACAGCAAACTCATTGGAATTTATAAGTATTGCAGGAAGAAGACTGAAGTTTTAAAATAAGTAAGTAGGGAAATCACATTTTTAAGTACTCAAGTGCAAAGAGATGATAGAAAGCAATGCAGAGTTAAGGAAAAAAATGCTAAGATTTTCAAAACTAGGTTACATATTCATTAACTTGAATGATCGTGTTTTTATTGGAAAAATAGCTAAATAACAGTCTTTAAGTACAATCTCTTCTTCAAATGAGTTAATAATGGAGGCAGTCATTTAAGCTGTGTATTGACACAGGGTCAGGTCTTAGCTTTATTTCATTCTCCTACACTCTCCTTTTTTCAGAAATCAAAATTCAGTCATTGAAATTACCTTCAAACATTTATTTTCAAGCAATTCCCTGTCATGGGACATATTATTAAAATAATTTTGACCTTCTCTTAGCCAAAAAAGAAAAATAAAATTGTTTTTCATATTGGACAAGCTTTCATACTGAGAAAACAAAACTAATTACAAAAGTATATGTTTGTTATACAAAGGAAAATGGAAATATTATCAGTAATAAATTCAATACACAGTCTCTTCTTCTTAAAAATAGAAGGATACAAACTTGGGAATTTTTTTTTGAATACTATAACTGTATTCTGAAATCTTAAAAAATTTTCTTTCATGAAGAACAGTCTTGCCACTTATGCTCACAGTCAAGTTAGGAGGAGATTTATTGACGGTCTCAGTGGGAGAGCCCTTCTAGTCTGGCACATGATCCATCTTCTACTCTGGTATAAACTTGAGCCTCTTTTGGGGATGCCATCAGGTTTTGTTCTCTTTCTTTCTGGCAGCCTGGTTCAGTTTCTGCAAGGATCTTGTAAGATCTTGCCAGACTGCACAGGTGGCAGATTCCATGTTCTGTTTTCACTTCTGTACTAGCAGTGAAACACTTTTCATCCTGTTTCTAAATATGGTCAGATTTACATTAAGCACATTGCTCTAATTGACCTCTAAGCGCTGGATAGTGGATTTTTAATTTTTCTTTTTTATTTTCTTTTTTTAATTGGAATCCTAATTTGCATGAGTGCTCTGGTTTAAGAAGCATTGGATTTAACTGAGGAGCATTGTAAAGGAGGTGGTGTTATATATTTGGTTTGATGCACTCAGAGTAGCAGTCTTAGTGAAAAAAACACTGAAAAACCTTAGTTTAATGTAATGAACAATTTGCCAAACTAACTGCATGTTCACTAGCTGGAGATCTGATTTAATTAAAGAATCTGTTTTTGCCAGTTTTCATCTCTAATCATTTTAAGATTTTTTTTAGTCAAGAGATATTTAGATATCCTTAAACCTTATCTATATGCTAAATGCACTAGGGTCGTTTCAACATGTCACATGTCAGTGTTTAGCCCTAGGGACAGAGAGAGCTCTCCATAGCAACTCTACCTTTGTCCTTGTTTGGCAATTATTCAGGTAAGATGGCAAGATGTGCCATCTTTCCAGATGTGTCACTCTTTTTTCCTCATAACCAGCTGTGCAGGTCCATGCATTGAGTTGAAGCCCCACTTCACCTCCCCTCCCCTCCACTGCCCTAAAAAAGTAAACAGGTGAAAAATGCGTTGGGGAGTCTCATTCCTGTGAGGCCCAACTGTTCTGTTGAGGTGAAGAGATGTGTCCTTGATAGAAGTCAGACTTTTAATCCTGACTGTTCTGTAGGTATGAAAATTTTGGCAGTTCACAAACTGGATATGCCTTGCTGTGAGCAGTTGGGCAATGTGGGGAGAAAAGAGCTTTGTAAGTGAAATAATATCATTCCTAGAAGGCATAATTACACAGTTTTCTTCCATATACCTATATATGCCTATACAGGAACTCATGGCACCAAAGAGCAATTTTCCTTGCAAACATTTTCCAAGCAAATCTGTCATTCCAGTTTTCTGATTCATGGAGAAATTGTTTTGGCTGCTATTTTTATAAAGCCATAACACTTCTTCTGTATAGCTTTAGTATTAAAAATGCAAGGGAGCGCTGGTTACCCTTCAGAAACCCTAATTTCTCTGACTATATGGTGGCCATTATATTTCTTTCATCTTGGCAAGCCTCAAAGCTGAGTATTTGCTTAGTGTTTCACTGGTTTTAAGATGAAAATTATTTTCTCTTGTTTTTTAAGCTACATGGCTTGCTGTAAATTTAAAATATAGTGCATTTCTCACAGTTGGATTTATTTTTGTTCTCTATCCAAGTTGGATAATGGAGATGAGCAAGCAGCGCAGATAAGGCGTGAACTAGATGGACGACTACAACTGGCAGAACAAATGGCAAGGGTAAGTGATTGCTTTCTTGTAGCAAAAACATATAAAATAAAAGCATATCTTTTTTTGAGATTGAGTGGGATGTTCCATAATCTGTGCTTCCTGTTTCTGATTCTAAAATTAAACAGAAGAATGTTTGAAAACAATCTGGCAGGTGCATTTCTTTCTGCTCTGAAGAATGTCTGACAACTGGGGTAGGGAGAAAGCAAAACCTGGTTTTGGAAAGGCATATCCTCTGTGATCCAACATTTCCTTCAACAGCAAGTCCAATTTTCCTCATTTTTTTACATTGGATGGAAAAAGCATCTTAGCAAGAGGAAAGATCTTTTAGGAGCACAATAACAGTCTGTTTTATTTGTCTTCTGTGTGGGCATGTTATTATTTGAATGATCCTCACAGGACATAGTACAGTTTGAAAAACACTACTGAGGGTTTGAGGTTTTTTGCTAGACAACCCTGAGCTTTGGCCTGTTTGTTTAGTCTCTAATTATAAATTACTTGGGTTTTTTTAGGGGCTTTTTAATATGTCATTTACTGTCTTTGTCATGCTGTGATGAACCAGTCCACACAAATTGATGCAGGAATTTTTGGTCACAGTCAACTTGCTTGGTCTTTGTTATTGAAACAAAATCAACTGTAAAGGTTTTAATATAAAACATTTTATGATAGGTCTTATAACAATAAAAATTGTCTGGTTTAGGAGCAAGGTGCCTGTCTTTGCAGACAGTATACTGGGATTGGTGTTTGTTTCTCATTTATATGTAAAACATATAATTTAGAATAATATGTGGTTTTGCTTAATTTTGAATGACAGTCTCCTAAGCATCCAGAATTCAATATTTGGAGAAACTGTGCATAAAATTAGCTCTATATGAGTTGATATATGTACTATACGTCTATATATGCTTCTTCTTTGTTTATTGTTATAAACACAATATTTAAATACTATTGTCTAACTTCTAGAGGAAAAAATTGATTTTTAAGTTATCTCTTAAGAGAGAGATTGTTATTTAAAATAAACCAGTGCACAGTAAGTAAACATTATTTTCAAAATGAATGACCCATTATTAAAAATAAAGGTAAACAATGATAGGAATTTCTTGTCATGGTTGTAATTTATTAGCTTTATGTTAGAAGCATGAATGTGATTGACTTATTTTTGGTAGCATGGAAAATAGGTGAAGTAACAAAACTGCTAGTGGACAGGTCATTTTATAAATGTCATTTTATGAAATATTGAAGGTAACATTAAAGGAGTATTATTAATTACTATTCTTAAAACAGCTGTAAGTAGAAATTCCTAATGTGTGGTTCTTCAATTTGGGTTTATGATTTAGGGAGAATGTACAAGGTTTCATTTTTACCTTATTTCTTCTTTCCAAAATTAACTGTACTGTATTTATGGGTCAGGATAAGCCTTTCAATCACTGTTTTGAAAACATAAAAGTAGATATATACTGAAATTATGACTTACATTTTTATTTATTGTCTCTTAACTAAAAGCAAGTGAGCAAATTAACGTGATTAATAATGTGGGATTCTTTTTTTCTGCTCTACTTTTAAAATATATTTTCCAAGGAAAGAAAATTCCCAAAATTTGTAACAAGAGAAATGGAGAACATGTACATAGAAGAGTTGCGGTCTTCAGTGAATTTGCTAATGGCAAATTTGGAAAGTCTGCCCGTGTCTAAAGGTGGGCCAGAATTCAAACTGCAGAAGTTAAAGCGATCACAGAATTCTGCATTCTTGGACATAGGAGATGAAAATGAAGTTCAGCTGTCAAAGTCTGATGTGGTTCTCTCCTTCACATTAGAGGTAATCACAAATTTCACAGAAAATTTGTTAATGGTTTGAAATCGGTAGGATATCTGCCTTGATACTCTTGATGTTAGTCCTTTCTTGGTAATGTTAAAATGTTCTGTTAAAGGAGTAAATTATGCTTTTTATCTTTGGTAATTAGAATTTAGAATACAGCTGTATGGTGCATTTTCCTCTAGCAGCAGTAGTTGCATTTGGGCCAACACACTAGTGTGGGAAGTTGAATCTCCCACACAAATGTAACTTAAAATGAATTCCAGTTTATTAAATAGCTAAGTATAATTTTAAATATTATAATGAAACACTGTTATAATCAGAAATGCATTCATAGAATTTTATGAACAAATTGAATTTTCTCACTGGAAGGATTTAGAGCAAACACAGTGATTTTTCTTTTCTCTCATGATCATAGCAGTTTTTTATAAATTTCTGCATTTTCTTCAGGAATCTGTCTTGTGTTTTCTGAGATTATGCAGGAAGTCTGGGATGTGGTGCTAATCTGTATAGATCTCAATTTACTTCAAGGGGAAGCCACAAATACATTTGGTTATTTAAACAATTCTGATGACAGACTAGAATCATAGAATGGTTTGCATTGGAAGGAACCTTAAAGATCATCTAATTCCAAACCCCCTGCCATGGCCACCTTCCACTAGACATGATTGATTAAATCCCCTCTAACCTGGCCTCGTAACTCATGTCCAATACTGCAAATGTTCATGCCGAGAAATGCTTATCTTGCTTGCAATAATAATAGAATCAAAACATTACCACAGTGTGCATTGTGTATTTGTTGGTCAGCAGGTGCCACACTTGTGTTATGCACTTGAAGTGGCTTTAGCTTATTTAAGACAGCAGGTAATGTTACACAATAAATACTTCAACTGTTAATGAGTTCAAAAGAAATAAAAATTGTTTATCTTTTATTTTTTTCTCAAGTGAAACGAGCATCTTTGTTTTCATGTGTTGAAGTCAGGTAATTTTTTCCCAGGTCATCATTAAAGATACAGAATAAAAAACATCAAACGTAGACAATGAAGAAGTTTTAATTCTTTGTATAAAAGAGAAAGTACTTATCCTACTATATGCAATTTTAATATTGCCAACTAATAATGTAAAAGCCCAGCAATCAGCTTTCAAAGAGTAGTAAGACCCATCATTCTATATGCCAAAAGGCTTTAGTTCATCAAGCATGTAAAACCGGAGTGCAGTCCTTAGTGTTGAAGTGTAGGAGAAGATGATTTATAACTCCTGTGCTGGATCCTGAGTGTCTCCATCATGTGTGCCATGTCTGCCTCAAGGGGAATACCAAGCCTGGAATGGTCCATAAATTTACAAGAGTAGTTCTGAATAATCTAAAAAGTACCAAAAAAAGTTTGGCAATAATATTTCTGGTCTTCAAAGTTTGAAACAAAGATGAAATGAAAAACGACAGGACATATAATTTCTGGTAAATTTATAACGGCTTTGCTTTGTTTATAGCCTCTCTGCTCTTCCACCAGATATGTAGACTATTAGGTCTGGTGAACTATGTTCTTTTTACCTTTTTCCCCATCAGCAAGAAAGAGATTTGCTGCAAGATAACCAATCTACAGTTCATGCTGTGTAAGGCAAAGAATTAAAGTATTACTGTACGTGTGATAGTTTTTAGTAGGGCAGATTTTCATTTTAACCATGATAGTAATCACATAAGTTGACTCTCTTTCCAAACAATATGTGCATACTTTGCTCTTGAGAAGCCAAATCTCAGAAGATACAAGGGCAAAAGGAAAAAGTTGAATTGATATTAATGAAGACTGAAATATGGAAGATACGGTCTTTTTCTGTGCAAATGACCAAATAAGAAATGCTGATTGCATTTCCTAGAAGACAGAGTACTTCCTTTTTTGAAAATGTGAGGTCAAATGTACACAATTTCACATGTCTTGAACAACACATAAACATATCTATGTTGCATCTTGTGTGGGGACTCAGTTGCAGGGTAACCAGCAGAATGCCTGTTGAGGGCTGCTGAACTAGCACATGAATGAATAGGAAATCTACATCATGTAGGACAGAGTGGAAGAACCCCAAAATTTCTAGATGAGGGGTAAAGTGGCCAGGGTTCTTGCTGTCACTGTGCATTGTTATTATAAATAGTAGAACTTGCTAGTAATATTAAGTGTTCTAGTAGGAGTGAACCTTACTAAGGTCAGATGCATTCCTGAGCATCACTGCAATCAACAGCCATTGTTTTTACAAGTTATTTCCTTAAATATCCTGTTTGTAGAAATTTAGAATAAAATTTTAAAAAGACACAGTAGTAGGAGAAAGCTTATACTCTTCAGCTGTTAGACAGTTAAAAAATAGAAAAGCATTTAGGAGGCTGTTTATCAGGTAATGAGCTGATACATCCACTAGTGACAGTTTCCTGTGGAAGACAACTTTTTTCCAGTGCTGGAATCCAGAATTGTTACCAAAGAAAAATGTACTTTGCAATTAAGTTGGAAACTCAGGAAAAGAGGTGTCAACGTAAATATGAGTAAACATGAAGTCAGTATTTAGCAAGGACATATATTTGGTATGTCGAAAGACCATATAGGCAGTATAGCCTAGAAGGATCTTTAATGCTGTCTAATTACTTGAATTCCTGAACAATAGATAAAAAAGAGGGATGACTTGATCATTCTCCCTGAATTGCTGTTATTATTTATAAATTGTAATAGGCAGTATTGATAATTTATGGGTAATATAAAAATGGTCTAAATGATCAGTGACTGTCATCCCACTGTAATATTTACAGATTAGCAATTTTGTGAGATATGTAACTATTACTAATGTTCTGTGAGTTTTAAAGTACAAAGGATTTGGTAGCTGGGGGTGAAGTCTGGTTTAATTTACTTGAATTGGAACAAAGTGGCACACGTGCAAGGAAGTTTAATAACAACAATTCTAGTAGTTGCTTGCTGACTTAAGAAACCAATTGCCCCTAATGAGACCAAAAGCAGTCATTACTTCTGGCACTTTTAAAAAAAATTAAACAAATGTTGGTTTACATGTAAGGTTCAGTTGAGGGCAACTTCTCTTGATAGAGTACATTTTTCCAAGTTTCTTTGCATGGGCCCAAAGGGAACTGGCAAGAAAAGCAGCTTTTCCAAAGAAAGCAGGGGAACCTGACTGTCTTCTCAAGTCCTCTGAATTAGAAACATCTGAAATGCAAAAAATTCCACTAAGTTCACACTGTGACAAGATTTATAGAAGGCAGAGAGCATTTAAAGTAGAGCTGCATTTGGCTTTTCTGAGTTAGTGTAGAGTAGTCTAGAGGAGGTGAAAATCTATAAGATCTGCCAAGCTCATGATTTCCCTGGTGAGGAAAACTTGCAGGACACAGCTGGTAGCAGTGGCTTTTTCTGTTTCTCTTCTCCCTCTTCCCCATATGCATACTGAACCTGACAGCAAGTACTGCACTGGGAGAAGAAAAGGATGTGCATAGTGGGGAAAAAAATTACAGGAGCTGATATCAGTGCTCTGACCTGCCTCTTGCTTGGCACACCACCAAAGCCCTTCTGAAGTTCAAGGGCTGCAACCTTCAGAGACACAGCACCATAATTTACCTTTCTATGTATGATCAATGTACTTGCTTGTTTACCGTCAGACTTAGTAACCTATCTGTTCTATAAAAATAGTCACTTAGATGACTGATTAAAAGTTACAGTTTCTCATGTATAAAGATTGAGAATTATATTCGGACATTAGTCTCAAATTGCACTATTGGTATTTAAATTATGGTTGGAGTGAGTTTTTGGTCATTGTCCAAGTAGAAACAAAGGAAAAATTTCAGTTCATTCTAGATGTTGTTGAAAGTGGAAAAAGAAGATAAAACCAAAACTCTCCTCTGTCTTAAGATTTGAGTGAGTGGACTTTGGAATTTGGGGGATTTTCCTTTTTTTTTTTAATCTTTGCAGAGCTTAGTACTGCAGTAATTGTGCTGTGTAATTTTTTATGAAGGATAAACTATTCTCTTTCTCTTCCTCAGATTGTTATAATGGAGGTACAAGGTTTAAAGTCAGTTGCTCCCAACCGGATTGTCTACTGCACCATGGAAGTGGAAGGGGGTGAAAAGCTTCAGACAGACCAAGCAGAAGCTTCCAGGCCACAGTAAGCCACTCTGCTCTTGCTGCATCGCTGTCTCTTTTCTGTCATGGGAGAACTTGTCTGATTTTCTTTACAATTTTTACAATTAGTTTAGTGCTAGGTTATGTGAATTTTTTCTTGACTAGTTATCTTGAATTCTTTCTGAGAAGTTAAAATACAAATAATACTTACTTAGGGTGAAGTGAGTACAAAGTGTGGGTGCTGTCCAAATGAAAGCCATTGAATGTATGGGTGAAGAAAAGAACTAGAGACTGCATCCTCCAAAAATACAAGCTTCTTAATAGATGTTAGCCTGGGGTGATTTTATGTATTCTAGGTTAATGTGCTGGTGGCCTTGTGGTGTGTAACTTGTGCAGTTGGAGAGAAATCAATACTCAGTAATCAATCTTGACAAAGCTTGCTCACCTGCTGAGCCCATTTCATTTTAAATTATAGGATCCACTTCTTTCAATTAATATTTGATGGAGGCAGTCAGCAAACTGACTTGGAGGGGGATAACATCATGCCATGTGTAGTTGAACCAGTTAGTGTAGCAGAGAGTAAAAAATTAAATTGGTTGATTCGTTTGACCTACACACTGTCTTCAGACACTTTTCACTCTGTTAAAATGTCATTTGGAATCTTTTGTAGATAACTTTCCAGACAGTATGTTGGGGTTTTACTGGCACCATAGTGCGCCATGTGAAAGACAATTTAAAAATTGCAGTTGTTATATCGGATATCGGATAAAACATCTTCTGTGGAACTGGGACGGTAGTTTCTTTTCCATTTGGAAAGACAGAATTCTTTAGGCAAAACTAGAAGCACAATTTATCTGTCTTTTCTATGGTTGGGAGTAGAAAATCTAATTTGATGGACTTTCTTCTAGCTGTGGCAACTTTCCTTGGCAAATAAGCTAGCAGCATATTCAAACAGCTTTGCAGAACGCTGAGTATGTGGGACAAGATGTAAAATTAATTTGTCACAGTTCCTGGCTGTGTTCCTTCTCCAGGGTATTGGAATGCTTATTCTTATCATTTCCATGTACTACACGAGGGCCTTCTAAAATAAACGATAATAAAAAAGACACACAGATGTACGCATTGAAGCAAGGTTGTAAGTGGGTATTCAACATCACCTGCTTATTTTTTGACCTTTTGGGGTGTTTTCTGGTGGTTCAGGGTCCCATGAGACCCACTAGGCTTTTTCATGGAGGGCACATCTCCAAACTGCCCTTTGTCTTGTGGTTGCTCTCATATTGTTCCCTGTGACACGTGCCTACAGCCTTTGCCCGCTGACACAGCCAAGGTTCTTTTTTCTTTTGAACATTTTGGGTCTGTTTTAAATGCTTGGTTAATCTCTGATGTCATTGATATGAGTCTTTAAATCAACTTGAGTACACAAGTTTTTGAATTTTGGACATGTTTGTCTTCCTTTCAGAAAACAGTCTGTGGATGTTAAAGGTGTTAAGTCTGGTTTTTTTTCTCTAGCTATTTCCAGATCTGGTGAACAAAACATTCTAGGGATGGTTCACAGTCAGTTCATGACTTATTTATTTCATGCTGCAGGTTTAGGTAAGGGTTGTAAAATCAATCAGAAGTATATAGAAGCATCAAGTAAAAATTGCCATGAGATTAATTGATTTTCCTACTTGTAAAAATGGAAGCTTTGTTAAAAGGAAGTTCCAGAAAAAATGGAGTCAATACAAGAACAACCGAAGTGTTTCTAGGAAATGGTGTCATGTTGCTTGTCTGCTCCAAGCTTGTAAATTGATTTAATGAACTTCAGGTTCAAAAGGTATGAGTTGATTGAATATAGGAGAAAGACAGATGATGGGCTATTCCATCTAAATGATGTTGTACAAACCAAAGTCATATGGATTTGTTTGGAAAAAATTACATATCTTTAAAAGATGAATTTTTGCGAAATGCCCTGAACTGTAGTCTGGAAGCACATGAATGGGAGTTACTGGTGCTGTTGGCCTGCTGTCCTGTAAAACAGTTAAAGAGGCAAGGATTATACAGCTCTGAAAAGTATCTAGTTCCTGTGCTCCTCTGAGTTGTGCTCTTTTCCATTTCTGGCAAGAGTGATTAGGAGACATTGGCATGCAGTATGATTGTGAGTATTTAGAGACATAGCTTTTGAGCACAGATAGAGACCTCATTTGAGGCAACGGGGGAGGATATTAAATTAGACTAGCATGAAATTAGCAAATTAGGAGCAAACAGTAAGAAGACAGGGGAAGCTGCCTATGGAAAGGGACATGCTTTCTTCCATAGTTTAGTTTTTCTGTTAGAGCCAAATCAGGTTTTCTTGGCAGTAGCAATATTGCTTTTATTGATTGGTGGTAGAGGCAACTAAGAGGGCTTAGAAGAGTTTAATCAGAAAGTACACTGGTGGAAGAGAGCTGGTGGGCAAGCGCAGACCATCTCTTTCCTGATACAAAAAAACAGCTGTCAGATGTCTGAGGCTGCTGTCTGCCTGCATTGCCTGATGCTGGAGCTGGCTTCTTACTGGTACAATTTTTGGTACTGTCTTTCTGATACGAAGGAAAAGTATCAGTGAGGCTGAAGGAGACCATAACTTCAGATTTCATGTAGGATGTGAAGCTAGAAAAGGGTACCAAAGCTGCATAGAATGAGACAGTGATGAAAAGGGAATGATTACCACCAGCCTGCTGTGGGAGACTGTTGGCAGGAGCTCCAAATCATGTGCTTGTCACACACATTTTCCTGTAGCCAGTTTATCATTTTGAACTGGTAGCTACATTTGTGGAAAAAAACCCAAACAAACAAACAAACAAACAAAAAAAACCAGTATAAAGAATTATTTATGCTTACTTTTTTCATCTGTGAAACATCAGTGTATGCAGTGCAATGCTACCACTCAGCCAGAAAATTTTAAAGCTTTGACAGTGAGAAGGATAAAATAAGATTCTAAGATGAATGTTTCAAAATGCTGCTGCAAGCTAGTGTGATCTTAGAGGAGAGATTAATGGAAACATGGGTCAAGTGCACAATTCACAATTTATCCACTATTCCAAAATGCTGAATATTTTCTCATGTATTTTTATACATATATTTAAGTGTTCCTCTAAATCCCTGAGTGCCACCTTAAGAGTAATACAAAAACTAGAAACAGTATTTGTTCTTAGAGGGAAGATGCCTCATTAAAGTCCCTGGGAGGAGAGCAGAGTTTTCACCAGTAATAAATATTTTCTGGTTTGTTAATGCATTTAACCCTTGCTTTCTCTCTTGAATAATAACTTTGTGAGTTTATGCTTAAGTGCTTCATTTTCTTCTTTAGCAAGCTAAATGAAATACTGCTTATATGTACTTAATGAGTTAATGGTCATTCTAAAATGCAAATGTTGTAAAATAATGTAGTTTTACTGAACTTATGTCTTAAACAGTTTTACAAGCAGATCAGTTACACAGCTTCACATGCAAACCCTATAAAATTTTTATAACTGTGAAATATTTCTGCATTCCTTCCAGCTGTTTCCTGCCTTTTAGCCCTGCTGAAAATCCCTCAACATAGCCTATGACCTTTTCTACCAGAGATCAGTAAGCGGAGCCCTCAGAGGGCCCTTTTAGTTGTGTGAAGCTTTGCATAACTTTATTGCTGTGATGCCACAGGGGGTCATCTGCAGAAATCCAGTGCTAATTTCATTTTTCAAACATTACTGAAGTGGCCTTGTTTTTAATCTTGTGGAGCCTGGTATCCACATTTCTTTCTTATCTTTGATTTTTACTCATTCTGAATATTAAATAATGTGATTTCTTGGAAGCGTCATGTTTTAGGCATGTAAAATCTTGTCTAAAAATAAAAGATGGGAACATACTATCATTTGGTACTACACCTGACATTTTCTTGTCACCTACTTAGACAATAAAATAGGATCTCATCTTGATGATGAAAAAACTTTAATAGAGACAGGTTATTCTTCATGTGAACAAGACACATAAGATCATCGTATTTTACTGCCAGTGATTGTATAATCTTATTAAAAGGGATATTAAATGTTAGAAGTATGTGAAGAATGCATGATTAAATCTGACTAGAGGAAGCAGGGAACCTTGGTCAGTACTGCACAAATTAAGTAAATGCTGCTTACATTATTTTTATGCCATATTCTATGGTCATTAATTCCATAAAGTATTTGAAGTATGAGAACTTGTGCATACATTAACTAAAGATTGCATAGAAAAGCTTCCATAGAGCAGTTAAAAAAAAAAAAAAAGAAAAAGGCCTAGTTTCTAATATTTAAAACTTTCTTAAATGGCATGTTTGCTCATAAAAATTATAACACTTTTTTAATACGATGTCCTGGGGTGACGATGTATTGAGGATGATAATATTTGACAATCATGTTCCAAACATCAGAAAGTTTGCTTTCTTCATCTTCACTGTAGTCCCTTCAACTGTGTAATTATTTTTTTTTTTTTTAATTAAGGGAAACAAGGGGACAATAACACTTAAACTGTCACCTCACTTGTGGCTGACAACACAGATATACAGTGTGTATGCAATGAGAAAGAAGAAGGGGTTTCAGAATAAAACACACCAATTGGTCTTATGCCAACTGGAATACTGACATTTTCTGATTTGATTCTTGGTTCTTTCTTGATAGACTCTGCAGGCTCAGGTAGGTCAGCCTAGTTTGTGATTTGTTTTCCCACATCTTTGGATTGACATGACAACATCTATCTGCTTCATCAAAGTACTGTGAGTTTATCAGTGTTTCTACAGCATTTTGAAGGTTAAAGTGTCACAGAAATACAAAATAACATGAAGTAAATTGGAGTTGCAACTTTTAACAGTGTTGTGATGGATTCATAATCAACTCTTTCAAGGAAAAAGTGAAATAAATATGCATATAGAAATTTCAGGAGCGTAAATCACCATGTCTTGCCCTTGTACCCATCACCAGTCTCTAGGTGGTTTTGAACCTTGGTGGGAAACAGGAGGTTTCTCTCATGAATTGTTCACTTAATATGTACCAGTGTTTGCCATGCCTGGCA